CATTTGTTGGAGTTTTGTATAAACACATTAAAACTAGTACAATTATCTCTAAATTTTAGTAAGTATTCTTGAAAGTCTTCATAAAGATGGGTTGAATCATGTCCCCCAGTTCCGCAAAGGATTTGCCAGGTGTGAAATTAACTTTTTCTAAATAATTGTCCAATTAAACGTTTTAGTTTCTGTGGTTTTTTGGACGCTCATATTCACGTTAAATTTTTTAAGTTGTTGTTTTCACGTCGTATTTTAAATAGTTTATCTAATATTCCCCTTCATGTCATTTTGGTAAGCTTCCCATTTCCCTCTTTGTAATCATAAGAGGTAAAACTCAAAAAGTAATGAAGAAATATTTTTTCTTTAAATGGATTTTTAAGAGCAAGAGAGATTAGAATATTTTCATCATATGTCTTCTAATATAAAAATTTTTCTTTTTTTCTTTTTGATACAAATGTGCTCTATCATAGATCTAACCTTGCAAAACGATGTTGAATTAAAATTTGATTATTTTAATTCACTTACTAGGGCAATTATGCCCTACGGCAAAAATTGTTATTATAACTATATTGTTAAGACCCTAGAGAAGGGGATTGATTAGTGTCTTTAAATATGCGCTAATCTAATCGATTTTAAAAATACCAAATTAAAACTATTAATAAATTATTTCTTGCGCAAATATAGAATTAGTACAATAGTGTTTACAAGCAAGAATAAGCTCAATAATGAACAAAGAGCAAACAAAAATATTTCCTAGCAAATGAGGAATATATAGTGAATTATAATGCGAGGATATAATAAACTAAAACACAAGGGGTTGGGGAAAACAATATGAGGAAACAATACTAAAATAACCAAAAGGAACAAATGGCGATATAAAGATAAGAAACACAAGAAATTAAAGTAAACGCCCAAAGAAATGCAAACACAAGCAAATGATGCACGGAAGTTCCGGACCCTTCCCGTCGCCCCTAACGTTCCTGCCACCTCGCCCAGACTCCGGGGAGAAATCACTGATTACAAACCGGTTTTTTTTTTCTAACGCTTACCCGAATAAACCCGTTTACACTCAACAATTTTTTCCATCACGGAAGTTTTTCCGTCCCCCCCACGACCTACGAGTCTTCCGTCCTCACCTCGCGGAATTCTCTACTTTCAACACTCGGTTTCTAGCTACCGAAAACTTAAAACAATCTCAAATAATATAATAAATGATTTATTCTCTACAATAAAGATGAAAGAGAACTCATGGTAAGCTCCAATCTCCTAGGGGTTTTACACACATGCTTTAGT